TCACACACACACACACACACACACACACACACACACACACACCAACTCTCCTTCCTTCTCCCGTTCCCAAAGTCCACTCCCGTCTTCGCCGAACCAAGTCAGCCCCAGAACAGCCTCGTATATCATCCGTCCCTTCTCTCATTCCCTCTCCTCCTCCTCCTCCTTCTCTTCCTCCTCTCCTCTCGCTCGCTCTTCACATCCGATGAGCCTGTTGAATACAAACCAGATCAGCCGCGGAAAGCGCGCGGGTTGAGTTGCGGAGCGCGCGCGCATCTACTCACACTGAACTGCGCAGTGCCTTCCTACTGCCTACTGCTCGTTCTCTGACCAACGCAAACCCCGCTTTACGTTTTGTTCAGTTCTCAAGGAAGTGGAACTAAAAAGAAGTAGAAAAATCTGCTCACATACTGTGTGTGTATTCTATGTACCACGGAGGTGGGTAGGGTTACCTTTTTTTTCTTTTGCGTCATAGGTAGACGAGAATGTTTTGTCAAGTTGTGGTGCTGTTGAGTGCTCGTCGGTAGCTCTGTGCGCGCGTGTGTGTGCGTGCCTGCGCGTCTTTCTTTCTTCCTTCCTTCTCCACGGACATACATGCAGCCAGACGTACGGACGGACGCACTTAGGTTTAGCTAGGTGTGTGCAGTGTGCAGAACATTCGCTCGTTCTTTGTTGTTGTCGGAAGCGAGTTCTGTGTTTTGATCACCTTTCTAGTTAGAACTACAGCTCGCTCATGCGACAAGGCTAACTTGTGCGTAGTTCTAGATCTAGATCTAGTGCAGTGGTGGTGACTAGCAGTAGATCTAGCAGCAGCGATAGCCGATACTAGATTTAGATTTAGATTTAGATTCCGCCACAGTTGTAATTATAGCAGCAGCAGTTGTATCTTGAAACGTAAGCTTCCAGGGTCAGGTCAGAGACGTCTTGGCTTTGGGGATTATCCGCCGATATACGCGCGCGGGTCATTCGTTGGTTCACGGTCGTGTTTTCTGGACTTCTATTGTTGGTAGGCCTAGTAAACTGCAGCTGTACACATTATGTCCTAATTAATGGTGCAATGTGTGGTGATTGTGGTGAACATTCCGATGCACTTTTGTGAGGAGAATCGACTACTGTGTTAGCGTGTTAAAGTTTAAGTGTTCGACTATTTCACTTCTTGCGTGTTGTGGATAGATCTAATCTAGATTTATATAAATCAACAATGGCTTTTTTTTTCATTGACAACTGCTCTGGTGTGGTTTGTTTCTTCTTTCCTATCAACCATCTATCGTCTTTATCTCCCCTTCTTCTTGTTTGTGTTTGTTACTGTCTTGTAACACCTCGAATCGTCGGCACTTATATGAGACCTTATTGTGTTGCAAGGGCCGTAGAACGCTTGCTAAAACTAAGTTGAAACCTGTTCGTGAAACGTTTTGGTCGTTTTAATATTCCACTTCAGTCGTGATATCTAGGCTACAACTTTCTCTTTGGGAGGACTTCCGTAACGAGCGACCACTATGAGACAGAGTAGAATAGAGGGCTAGGGGTAGGGGTAGGACTAGGGGTAGCGTTAGGAGTAAGGTTTGGGTTAGGGTTAGGTCTCTTATTTAGTGTTTGTTGGGGTGGTTCTCATTGCAACACTCCTTCCTTTTCTTTACTTCAAACCTCATAAAGACAACTTCGTTTTGATTGGCTCAGTATGAAGTGGATCATCTAATAGTCTCATATTTATTCTCTACCCCCCCCCC